GGTAGAAGATGGGCCAGATATACTTGCCCTGTGGGCCTGAAGAGAAGCTTCAGGTTGTACCCAAAGAATTATCAGAGGCCAGTGGAGAGTTTTAAGCAAAAACGTAAAATCAACAGTGTTTAAAAAAGATTCAGGCCTATAGCACAGTGGTTAAACACAACACATTGGAAATTAGATCCCACATGACCAACTGTCGTTTGAATCCCAGCCACAGCAACTTGAAAAACACACCAGGTGCATGGGCACAAAGAAAAATGGAAGAAAAGGCATTGCTGCATGACCACTTCCCATTAGGGGGTGCCTTCTCCCTTTCCTTCTTTTCTTTTCTTTTCTTTTTTTAAAGAATTATCTACTGGGGCCAGCAGTGGCATGGTGGTTAAGGGCACTCCCACGTGGCCAACCACAGTTCGAGTCCTGGACCTGACAGCTTGCTTCCTCATTTTCTCTCTCTGTCCCTCTCTGGTCAAATTAAAAATGAGCAAGTAAATAGGAACCAGCAGTTAGCGTAATGGCTATGTCGTTGGACTCCCATGTAGTCGACTGTGGTTCGAGTCCTTGACCCGGTGGCTTAAAATCATGCCAGGCGCGTGTGTGTGCATGCTCAAGATCCTGAGAGGAGAATGGAGGAGAAGGGATTGCTGCGTGGCCATCCCCCCAGGAGGTGATTTCTCACTTTCTGTCTCTCTGTCTCTGTCTGTCTTTCTGGTGAGCACACGCGCCCTATAGCAAAAGCCTCTCCAAAAAAAAAAAAAAGTTAATAAATAAAGTTAAATAAAATAATTATTAAAAAATGATCTATTTAATTTTATTTATCATTTTAAAAAAATATTTTGGTACAGGGCACATGCTCACCAGAGACAGAGAGAGAAAGTGAAAAAAAAAAAAGGTCCAGGACTCAAACTGCAGTTGGTGGGAGTCCAACACCTTAACCACCACGCCACCTGCAGGCCCCGCCTTTCCTTCTTTCTATCTCTCTAGCAATTGCACACACTTTCTGGCAATTGAAAAAAAGAAAGAAAAAGGAAAAAAAAAAAAAGATCCCTCTAGCTGCTGTCTGGAGAATAGATTAGTGGATGATGAAAGTGTCCTTGCTTAGCCAGCCATGTAATGTGATGGTTAAGGCAACTGAATCCAACATGGCCAATTGCATGGTTCAAGTCCTGGACTCAGCAGCTTAAAAAACCTGCCAGACATGCATGCATGCATACCCAAAATCCCAAGAGGAGAATGGAGGTGAGGGGATTGTGGTATGGTCACCCTTCTGGTGGGGGTGACTTCTCACTTTCTCTCTCTATCTGTCTGTCTCTTGGTGAGCCCACATTCCCTACAGCAAAAACTTAAAAAAAAAAAAAAAGTAATTTTAAGTATGAGCCCCCACCTATTTCTTCTTAATAATGGAGTTAATTCCAAACTGGTGGGATGGATGAGGTGATGTCTACCAAGTAAACTGTAGGTGCTCACTCAAAATTATTTCTGTCCTGGGGCCAACAGGTGGCAAGGTGGTTAAGGTGCTGGACTCTGGACTCTCACATGAACCCGGTGACTTGCTTTCTCACTTTCTCCCTCTCTCTCCCTTTCTCTCTCTGTCTTGCTATTATGCCCTATAGCAAGTTAAAATAATAAATTAACTAAGTTAATTAAATAAACAAGTCATA